TGCTCCACTAACACCAAGTTACTGTGCCACCACCACACCACCTGGTCACTGCACCATCACTGCACCACTAACACCCAGTTACTGTGCCACCACCACACCACTAGCACCTGGTCACTGCACCACTCAGCAATCACTGGAGATGTTCTGCCCATGCCTAGCTGCAGGACGATGCATCCCACATCCTTCCTGTACTTCTGTCTCTCTCCCTTCTGATTTCCTGACCCCAGCCAAGAATCAGCGGCAGAAGCCAAATGTCCATGTGTGCCTGGCTTTCTTAGTCATGCCTTGCACAGTACAGGCATTTAAGGATCTTTGTTGAGTTGAAGGTTTACATTGCATCCCCCTCCCCATGCTGTGTTTATTTATACCAGAGGAAAACTGCACTGTTCAAGCACACACCTCGTGAGGTCACATTTCAAATGCACACCAAACACTTGCTATGATTTGTGCCAGGTTCTTGGCATGTATTATTCCTAAGACTATGGGCTGCTGTAACAAATTACCATGAAAGGAATAAACAACAGGCATTTATTCCCACAGTTCTGAAGCCTGGGGAGTCTGAGATGGCAGTGGCTGGGGACACGGAATGCTAGGGCCTGCTTCTGCTTGGCTGTCCGCACGGTTACACGGAAAGAAGAGATGGGAAGCTGGCCTCGGGGGTCTTCTCTTCAAAGGGCACTAATCCCATTCATGAAGGCTGCACCCTCATGATCTCATTGTCCACCAGATATCCCACTTCCAGATCCCTTCATATTAGGAATTAGGCTTTTCACATGTGAATTCTTGGGGACATAGGTAGGTCCATAGCTCTGACATATGCCTACACAATAATTATTATCATATGTTTACTGAAACTGAAGCTTAGAGATGTAAGTAGTTAATCTGAATATAAACCCTTATCTGTATGATTCTCAGGCCCATACCATTTTAATCTGACATACAGAAATTGTCAACTTAGATCATCTTTAAAAATTTTCAAATTAAGTTACCTTTATTGGGTAGATAATAGTCTATAAAATGATAATGCAAGACCATTGTCAGAGACCTCAGATGAAGTAGGGGTTCCCAGGACACGCGTAGAATAAGCCATGAACTCCCTGCTGAGTTAGGGTCTGCATGGTCACTAGGTGACCCTAACAGTCACCTACTAGTGTACCAAGAGTGTCACAAACCTTGAATATTTACCCTCTCCAGCAATCTCTCTGCCTCATTCAAGGTTTGTTGACCTTCACAAGCAAGAAGCCAAACCTTTATAGATTCTGTGGTTTCTTTAAATACCATCTCCTGAATCAGTAGGAGCTTCTCTGCTTACTTGCTGGTTTCTCCACTGAGGAAAGAGATTGCAGGTATGGGATAACTACTACTTACGACTTTAGGATCATCTGATTGGTATTATACTTAAACATGATAGGAAAATCAGCAGAGACTCAAAAGCACTAACAGCCATGTTCATATGAGATGAAGCCAGAGTGTGTGTGTAGATTTAAGGTTCCAGGTACTCTCAGAATGGCTCTGCAGTGATTATGATTATATGGGGAAAACAAACAGAGGTGCTATTCTGGCTAACAAAGTATTGAATATTATTCCACTAAGCATGATTTCAAAAATTATGTACGTTTGCAAAATATTTAGTGGTAGTATTTTAATTGCCATCAGACCATTAGGTATGAATTATTACATATCATTGGGCCTGCAAGCTTGTGTCTAGCAATATAATTGGTATGAATTATTACCCTGTAGCCAAATGCTCCCAATCCAATTGCTTTTAAAAAAATTACTTATGAGAGAGGTCTTTAAAAAACTACTATCCAAATGTTCAGAATGGGTTAAAGTGATTTAAAATGTATGTTCCAGGATGAAAAAAATATATTATTACTGTTCTTAAATAATGGCATCTAATTTAATAGAATTATGTTTATATAAATCTACTCAGTAAAAGCAACAACCAATTAAAATCTCAGATTTATGAATGGACCTTCCATATAAACATTACATAACTTGGACAAAAGGTATATTATGACTCCCTGAGTCCAGGACGGATGAGTGCCTGTCAAACCCTCTTCCTGTCAGTTTTCAATCAGTCATCAAACTCCACCCGCAGCATAACCGAGGACGTGAAGGTGTTAAATCACATTCCACCAAGGACACAGTTCACCCCCCACACTGACCATCATTCCGAACTGCTAATTTTCCCCCCAACTTTTAAGTGTAAACGTTTGGTGAGAAGTTAATGGAATTGATTTTTATTTTTAACTCTCATCAGGAAATTTTCAATAAAAAGTAATCCCAAATTAGTCGGGGCGGGGCTGTATTCCAAGTAAACAGTATAATTTCATTACATTTTTCAATTTTTTTTAGCTACACATAAAAATCCATACAATGAAGATGAAAGCAATTAAGTTTCTA